CGGCTTGTATTATAACTTTAGTAAAAGGCCTATATAGCAGATGAACACTCTTATCCTTCATCCTCTCTTGACACATTAGAAAAAGGAGCATTTCTCAAATGCTAGAAACCGTCTTCTTCAATAGTTCTACATTCAGTGGAATTTCCTTTTCCGTTTGTTGTTTTGCGGAAATACTAATGTCTTACATAGTTCTTATTCCTGGCGTGAAAAAAGGTAAATCTCCGTGTACGAGAAAAGTAAGGGTGCCACTAAGCCTAGTGCCGCGATGAAATAGAATACAGGTCTATTGATCCACGTGAGCTAAGGACATAATAGTTATAAAGAGCATTAATTTTGCTTCGCAATTTCCTGATGCTTACTTCTCAAACAACAAATCTTTTGTACACAATGTACAATATTTAGTTCTAGCGGGCATTCTTAAAGTCCCACCTGAAATAAAATATAATTGTATCCTGACAATTTATTTGATCTTCTTCGTCAGCTTTTTAAGGCTGACGCTGCTACAAAGCTGGTTAAAAGCATAAAAGTAATTTAACTCTACAAATAGAATAGATCCTACAAAGTGATAACAACGTGACAGGATAGTTTCAAAATGTGATTTTAGAAACACTTCTCTCAATTCACCTCCAATAGTCGTGACTGTGTGGGCTCGGGACTTTCGAAGATCGTTAATGTTCCGAACTTTCAATTTCCGGTATCGCACCCGAAAAAAAAACACAACACAGTTTCATTCCTCGTTAAAGGGTTAAAATCCAACAAGTTTTATTCTTGTACCCAGAGAAAAGTTCAGCGACTTCCTGTCGCAGCAGTTGACTTTTGAGGAGGAGGGGGGGTGGGGGGTGGGGTTGAGATATCCTGCAAGCATAGTTTCTCAAAAAAAGTTCATGGAAGCAACATGTAGAGAAAAAAATTTCACGCACGTTCAGTGAGCCGAAAAAAGGCGTGCATACACAGGTCCCGAGAAAAACATTTCCCAATCACCCCGTTCCCTCAAAAGTCAAATATTCCCCGTACCTTGTATCAGTTGTTAATTCTTATACATCGCGAGTTATTTGCCAAATTTTGCCAATTTTTGAATCTATATGTAGCAAAAGTAAATTATCTTGATGCCCAACAGTGTCTGATTGCGTTGTTTACTCCTTGCCTCACTTCGATGATCTTCCAACAGTAGAGAATCGGGTTTAAAGATGAGTTCATGTAGATTAGGGTTACCGCACATAACCAAGTCATGTGACTGAAATACTCTTTCCCATTAATCCTTAATAAAGCCACGATACAAGAAGGAACATAGCAAGCAAGCAATGCCAACTGCACCCATAATATGCTAGATACGGTCTTCTTGTATCGGGTAATATTCAGTGGAGTCCCTCCTCCATTCGGCTGCCCTTGGTGAACTTGTACTTGGGCTTGGTGATGTCGCAATTTGAGGTTGATCTTCGTGTAAGAGAAAATAGAGGTTACCAGACAAAGTATTACAAGGATAAAGGCCGCAATCCAGAGAACACGATTGTTCCAGAAATATACTAACCGCAATAAAACACTTATCATCCAAGAACATGCTGTGTATGCCCGAATTCGTCTCAAAGTTACAACTTGTCTGTATCTCATTCCCAGTGACAGGGCTAATAGTCTGTCCAGACTTATTGTAGTCGATGTGACCAGCGATAATGCACACAACGTAACACCTAAGGCAGAATTTACTTCACTAATGAAGTAGACAATGTTAAAATTCATCTCTGTTATATAAGACATCAAGTAAGTGGAACGCAGTGGATGCGAAATAAGACCAACACAAAGATCAGTAACTGCTAAGCATCGAAACAAAAATTTGGATGGAGGATAAAGAGAAGTCACCCTATGGAGAGCAATTAGGATCAGAATGTTTCCAAACGAAGCGGTGATGGATAGGAAGATGTTCAA